GAAGGGTCTAGGCCCGAAACGTCAGCTTTCCTGCTCCTCTGATGCTGCTTGGCCTGCTGTGTTCATCCAGCTCTACACCTTGTTATCTCATGATCTTAATAATTTTGAATTTAATTTTATTGATGGTCTTCCCTCAATAGATGGGAATTCCTGAAGTCAGTTGATATTTCCATTATATTAGTAGTTTGATGAATTGATGAAGTACTAAATTGTGACCTAATCTTTGCTCTCCATTTCCAGTTCCTAAGGTGTCTCAGAAGCAGTAGTGAAATCCATGAGAGGAAGAAACAGGAAAGCTGTTTTCTTCTAATTGCACTGACACTAAAAACAGATTCTGAGAAGACATTCGTTTCTGTCATTGGATTTAGTTGATAGTTAGAGGGTGTCAAAAAAATCAAGTTGGGGAATTTTGGACCCAAAATGCCCAATTCTTGTTAACTCTTGCAAGCTTTAGACAAAGGCATATATAACTCATTCATCCTCATAATTACATAGCCTTAACAGCATGAATGCACTGAACGTCATGATATTTTCAGTTTGTGGAATTTTATTAAAATTGCCAGCACAATAATGGTTTAGAATTTGCTTAGTATTTAAGCTTCTATCTGTAATTTGTTCAAATCTAATGTCCCTGTGCCTTTCCTATCAACATTTCCATTATAAAAACATTTGTCCACACTTAGAGAACTATCTATGTAAACTTGTTGTAATGTAACTATAATGTCTCATTAATCTGGAGTCTGAGGCCCAGCAAGTGTTCAGTGAAGAGAAATTCAAATATTTCTCTGCTTCTAGGGACAGTATTTATTAAGTAATTGATCTCCTTTGTCTGTAAGTTTCAGCACGTGTTATGTTGAATTTAAAGTCTTTCAAACATTTATGTTATCAAGGTATAATAGAGTTGGAGAGAAGGGCTAGTTTGCTTCTGAAAATCAGAATTTGCAACATTGATTGCTGTTTTTATTGGCCACAACATGAAGTAATGGCAAGTTTACAAGGGTAGTTTCATTTTATATAGACATAGGAATTTATAATGGAAATATAGAATTAAGAAATATAAAAATAAATGTATCGTAAAGTGGGCACTGAACTGTCAATAAGCACTGCCAACCTGCTTCATCTTAAGACAACAGTTATCTGAACACCCCATGTACAGCATTCAGGAAATTGTTTAAAGCCTACTTTCCATCTGTTCTTGAATGAATTTCAGTTTGAACATTTTAACTGTCTTTGTTTACTTGTAGGTTGGATTGTCAAAAGATGCCCAGGATCAGATGCGCAAAATGTTGTGCCAAAAAGAGTCCAATTATATCCGCCTAAAGAGGGCAAAGATGGATAAGTCCATGTTTGTGAAGATCAAAACTCTGGGAATAGGTGCATTTGGGGAAGTCTGCCTAGCTCGGAAAGTAGATACCAATGCATTATATGCTATGAAAACACTGAGGAAGAAAGATGTGTTGCTGCGAAATCAAGTTGCTCATGTCAAAGCTGAACGGGATATCTTGGCAGAAGCTGACAATGAGTGGGTAGTTCGACTCTATTATTCATTCCAGGACCGAGACAACCTTTATTTTGTGATGGATTACATTCCAGGAGGGGACATGATGAGTCTCCTAATCAGAATGGGCATCTTTCCAGAACCTCTGGCACAATTCTACATTGCTGAACTGACCTGTGCTGTGGAAAGTGTTCACAAAATGGGCTTCATTCATAGGGATATTAAACCAGATAACATTCTGATAGACCGAGATGGGCACATAAAACTAACTGACTTTGGGCTGTGTACTGGTTTTCGATGGACCCATGATTCCAAATATTACCAAAGTGGTAAGTAATATTTATTAACACCACTGGTATGGGAATTTTACTGTACACAAATATTATTTAATTAAATTAAATATAGGCCATCCTCTATTCCCAATTCCTTCGCCTCCAAGATCTGCTCCCGAGATGAGGCATTCCACTCTCGGACATCCCAGATGTCCTCGTTTTTCAAGGACCGCAATTTCCCCTGCACAGTCGTCGAAAACGCTCTCGACCATCTCTCTCGCATTTCCCGCAACTCATCCCTCACACCCCCTCCCCGCAATAATAACCAAAACAGAATTCCCCTCGTCCTCATGTACCACCCCACCAACCTCCGTATGCAACGCATCATCCTCCGACACTTCTGCCATCTGCAATCCGACCCCACTACCAAAGACATTTTTCCCTCCCCACCCTTACCTGCTTTCCGGAGGGACCACTCTCTCCATGATTCCCTTGTCCGCTCCACACTCCCCACCAGCCCCACCTCCCCCGGCACTTTTCCCTGCAACCACAGGTAGTGCTACACCTGTCCCTACACCTCCCCCTTACCCCCATCCCAGGCCCCAAGAACACCTGCCACATCAGACAGATGTTCACCTGCACGTCTGCTAATGCTAATTCTGTATCTGCTATTCCCGTTGTGGCCTCCTCTACATTGGGGAAACCAAGTGGAGGCTTGGGGACGGCTTTGTGCAACACCTATGCTCGGTTCGCAACAAATAACTGCACCTCCCAGTCGCGAACCATTTCAATTCTCCTTCCCACTCCTTGAACGACATGTCCATCCTGGGCCTCCTGCAGTGCCACAACGATGCCACCCGAAGGTTGCAGGAACAGCATCTCATATTTTGCTTGGGAACCCTGCAGCCCAAAGGTATCAATGTGGACTTCACAAGCTTCAAAATCTCCCCTCCCCACCAAAACCAGCCCAGCTCTTACCCGCCTCCCTAACCTGTCCTCCCACCTATCCACTCCTCCCACCTCAAGCCTCACCCCCATCTCCTACCCACTAGCCTCATCCCGCCTCCTTGACCTGTCCATCCTCCCTGGACTGACCTATCCCCTCCCTAACTCCCCCTACATTCACCTTTACTGGCTCCTTGACCTGTCTGTGTCCCCTCCACCTATATGCTCCTTTATCCATCTTCTATCCGCCTCCCCCTTTCTCCCTATTTATTTCAGAATTCCCTTCCCCTCCCCCATTTCTAAAGAAGGGTCTAGACCCAAAACGTCAGC